AAAATGGTTACATGTAATATGAAGCCCCTCTTAGTTTGATAACTTTCCAGCAGTTAACCGATTAAGGTCAACAATGTTTTAGAAAGTGAATGAACAAATGAGTGAACAACTAGACAGAGTCCCTTAAGGTATTTCTGTTGCATGCTCTATTGTTTACGATGAGCCTTGTAATATCTAAGGTTTTGCCTCTTTTCAGCTACTTTTTTTTTTCTTTTTAGCATAGTTTCCAGGCACTGTCACGAACTCTTTGGTTCTTTCAAAGCTAAACTCTTAATTTCTTTTCTTAAAATGTTCATTTTTATTGAAGTACTATATAACAGGCCGGGCACGGTGGCTCAAGCCTGTAATCCCTGCACTTTGGGAGGCCGAGGCAGGTGGATCACGAGGTCAAGAGATCGAGACCATCCTGGTCAACATGGTGAAACCCCGTCTCTACTAAAAATACAAAAAAAAAAAATTAGCTGGGCACGGTGGCGCGTGCCTGTAATCCCAGCTACTCAGGAGGCTGAGGTGGGAGAATTGCCTGAACCCAGGAGGCGGAGGTTGCGGTGAGCCGAGATCGCGCCATTGCACTCCAGCCTGGGTAACAAGAGCGAAACTCCATCTCAAAAAAAAAAAAAAAAAAAAAGTACTATATAACATTATTTAAGTTTGGCAAATGTTAATGTTTCTTCTCAATTAGGCGAGGTGTATTCCTGAGAAGGTGCCAATTGAATTGAGTATATTTGAATTTAGTATGTGAACTAAACTGTAATTTTTTAAAGCTTACCCATCCATCATATGGGTGATGGAGTGCCAGCTGGTTTTATATGTAAGTGTTTTGTTTTGTTTTTCTAGCAATATTTAAACATTAGAAAATGATTTCCTATTCTAACAAAGAGAAATTCCTATTAATTTACTTACAGGACCCCCTTGTCAATTATTTAGGCTGCCTAGAATTTAAATTGGCAGATACTACTTTGGTATAAAATGCTTTCTATTGACAATATTAATATTTTAAAATCTGTTTTACTCCTGCAGATCTCCAGTAGACAGGAAGCCTAGTTCTGTTTACCCTTTGGCTACTAATGAATGCTACTGAATTATTATTTATCATCTTTAGGTAGAGGTACCACAGGTATGAGATCAGAATTGCCAGGTAAGGCAAGCATTTAATTTTAAAATTTGAAAACTAATCCATGCAAAGGTGACAACTAAAGTGTAGATACTAGAAAGAATTTTGGACTTCAGTAAGAAAATCTTGGTTGTATCCCTACCCTTGTCATTAACTTAGCTGGGTGACCTTGAACAAGTCACTGCCCAACTCCAGATTGCAATATTCTCTATAAAAGCACAATTTCAACATAGCATATTCTAAAGAGAGCTTGGTTAAGGAAAGCTGAATCTTGTTGTTTATCAGCTATCCACACCAGCCTGGCAGCTCTGAGGTCAGCCTCCAGCTGCGTTTTCATCTTTTTGTAATCCCTTAAATCCTTGCTAGGCTTTCATTGCTAGTTAATTTCCCTAGAAATTTACATTTAGAGACATTGAGGGCTTCCTGCATTTGGAATTTTTCTGTGTTCATGAGTTTAATGAAAAAATACTTGGAGCTGGCTAATAAAATGCAAGAGTCAAAAGTCTTGTTTAAATGTCTCTGTAAAATCAAACTATTTCCATCATGACTAATATACCTTTACTCTTTCAGAGCTTTGAAATCAGTATCTTTGAATCTTGACATGATGAGGCACTGTTGTCATTTTATCCCATTAATTGTTCTAGCATTTTCCCACTAACTCCCTCCTTGTTCTAAACGTTCTTTTTTTTTTTCTTAAGCCTAGAATGATTGAACAACAAGGCTCCATGTCACAAGAAAAGCATTGTAGCCTGATCCTCACTTATGTTTTAGGTATTTGAAAATTTCATTGATTTGAAATAGTTTGAATTGCACTGAGTTAAACTTACCTTTAATTGGTCTGCTAGGAAACAAACTAAACAAAATGATAACTTGCCTCAAAATATTGAGAAATTAACTGTATAGCTACTTCAGCATGTGTATTTTTTAAATGAAAAAGCCAGAGCTAGGTACAAAAACTGCTTCATATAAGGAGGTCTAGCACTGTATTCAAAAGGTCAAACAACAACAAACATTGGTGAGGATGTGGAGAAACTGGAATTCATACATTGTTGCTGGGAAAGTAGAATCGTGCAGCTATTGTGAGAAATAGTTTGTTGGTTCCTCAAAAAGTTAAAGGTACAATTACCTTTATGATCCAACAGTTCCACTCTTAGCTGTCTACCCAAGAGAAATGAAAACATACACCCACATTAAAACGTATACATCAGTGTCCCTAGCAGCATTATTCATAATAACCCAAATGTCCATCAACCCATGAATAGGTAACAAAACATACAAGGAAATATTATTAGGCAATGAAAAGAATGAAGTACTGATACATGCTACAACATGGATGAAATATCTAAAATACGCTGAGTGAAAGAAGCCAGACACTAAAGGCAATATATTGTATGATTTCATTTATACAGAATGTCCAGAATATGCAAGTCCATAGAAACAAAGTAGATTAATGGTTTCCAGGAGCTGGGAGTGGTGCTAATACGCAGTGACTGCTACTGGGTATATAGATTCTTTCAAGGATAATGAAAATGTCCTAATATTGAGTAATGGTGATGGTTGTACAACTGTGAATATACTAAAAGGCATGGGTGAATTTTGTGGTATGTGAATTATATCTCAATAAAACTTTTATGGATTAAAAACATTAGTGATTATATTACTGTAACTATTTGAAATTATAAAAGTATATTTAAATTACATTTTATACCGGGACTAGGGGAGGGGAGAATGGGGAGTTAGTATTTGATGGGTACAGAGTTTCAGTTTGGAAAGATGAAAAAGATTTGGAGATGGAAGGTAGTGATAGATGCACTACAAATATATTTAATTTTACAGAACTATATACTTACCAAATGATTAAAATACCAATTTTATGTATATTTTACCATAATAAAAATCTATAACTCCCTAAAATTACATTTTATATTATTCTAATGAATGACATGTCTTCTCCTCTCTTTCTCTTAACAGTAAAACTGAAAATGTGATTGATCTTTTATTTTTTATGCATACAATTCTTCTGGTCTGTGTTTTAGAACTTCTTTCCTGTATGTGGAGGGGGTGGTGGGATACATACACACATGTCTTTATCTTGGATTTGAATGAGAACTTGGAAGTATTTTTTAAAATTTTTATTTGTCAGTAGAAAAATAAAAGAAGCCAAACCATAGGGAATTTACATCATTAAATTATAAAATAGTGAAATGCTGTTTTCAGAGTATGAATTATCACAGATTTCCTGATTTTCTTGGTTAATATTGGCTTCTTGAATGGGAAAAACATTTATACTTTTATACATATATAACATTTCTATATCGTCCTATAAGCATTTTCCTTTGTATAGCAGGATAAAATGAGCACCCAAGTGTATTGCAAATATACAAATGCAGTGAGTGAGCTTCAAAATGCAAACAAAGAGATGGGAAAATGAAAAAAGAAAATTCAGCAATGAGAAAATCACTGGAAAATGATTTAAATTATTTTCAAGGCTATGGAACTATGTTATGACCCAAGCAGTTTGTAGAGTCTGAGTTTGTAACCTCTGAGGATTAATCTGTGAAAGTATTTCTAAGCCTGGCTACTATCTAGGACATTTGAAGATGGATATCATGAATGCCAGTATTGCCATTAATATATTAGGCAATCAGAGGTATGTTTGTTTTTCTTGATGAGGAAGTGATTTCTTTTAAAAAATTCAGCAATGAGAAAATCACTGGAAAATGATTTATTTTCAAGGCCATGGAACTATGTTATGACCCAAGCAGTTTGTAGAGTCTGAGTTTGTAACCTCTGAGGATTAATCTGTGAAAGTATTTCTAAGCCTGGCTACTATCTAGGACATTTGAAGATGGATATCATGAATGCCAGTATTGCCATTAATATAGTAGGCAATCAGAGGTATGTTTGTTTTTCTTGATGAGGAAGTGATTTCTTTTAAAAGTACAAGGAACCGTGTGTGTGTGTGTGTGTGTGTGTGTGTGTGTGTGTCTGTGTGTAGTTTCTGTTCCACTGCAGGAAGAATTATGGTTTTTCCACATTTTACAGTGGAGATTTTCTAGAGTTTGGCACTATGATATACTATACTTGATTATAGGATCCAATCAGAGTTGATGTACTCAGAGGTTCATTGACGTGATTAATGGTCTCCTATTCATACTTTTATTTCCTAGATTTGCCCTATTTCCTGTAGTTCCACAATTTTTGAGTCATATGTTAAATTATCCTTTATAGGGAGCCTGAAATTCTTATTTTTAGTCTATAATTTGCATGATTATTTCCATTTTCTTTGTTTTTTTTCTTGAAGAAAATGAAATTTTCATCTTCCTTTGAATCCTTTGAGTGCTATTCTATGGTGACTGGCTTACCTAGTATAATCTTTTTAAAAATAATATTTTGTGTGTGTGTGTTCATGTGTGTGTGTGTGCACTTATAGGTATATGTACACACACACACATACACGTGCGCGCACACACACACACACACATAAAATTTATTTTTACTGCCACCAGCACTGGATCCTGAAATCTTCCTACAAATTTCTACTAGTCTAGTTTTTATTCTTCTCAAAAGCAAAATAAAACATTCTTAGATTCTGCAAGTAGCAGGGCAAGACACCAGGAAATGGCTATACAGGAAATGTAATTGATCATTCACTCTTTACAATTGAAGCAGTCACAAGATTGGCTAGCAAACACAATCTGTTTAATGAAAAACCAAAGGTGACTTCTAAAATCTTTGGGGACTTTGAATACATTTGAAGCTTATTGATACCTTTGACATCTTACTGATTCTTTTTGAAACTCTTACCTTTTTCAAATAATTGTTTGCATTTGAAATTTGGAACTATGTCCAGTGATTGCTTTAATATTTGCTTTGTTTTTGACAGTGCCCTTAAAGATAGCCGTTTTCCCCCAATGACAAGGGATGAGCTGCCACGGCTTTTCTGCTCAGTGTCTCTGCTCACTAACTTTGAAGATGTCTGTGATTATTTGGACTGGGAGGTAAGATTATAGAAAAATTTTTAAAGAAAAATGAAGGTAACTCTTGAGTAGATGTTAAAAACTAGGCCCAGAAAATAACTCTTTCAGCCCATTCTCTGTTGTAATGGAAGTCGAGAGTAATATGGATAAATAAACCTCACAATTGAAATATGAGATATAAGTAAATTAGTTTTTAAAGGGCAAAGTATCATGTATTGTTATAATCCCCAGACTGAATTTGGTTTTCATTTTTATCCTACTACCTCAGCAAAGCACCTCATAAAAGCTGTTAATATGTAATAAGAAGGACTGATTGGAATTTATTTCTCCTCTTATTTTCATCTTGATGTACTCTGGTATAACCGCCACCAACTATGTAACTAGTTGGTCAGAGGATACATCTCAGAAACAAGAAGAAATAGTTAGGATAATATACCATTTGGCAGAATCAGCTTGCGATAATAACAAGGTATTGATTAACTAGAGTTAAATAATGTGAATTCCTTCTTGGCTACCTTAATTTATACATTTAAACACCCTAATAAATAATATTAAGGTTATATCTAGGGTATCTCTGTGTATTGCTATTATTAGAGTAGCTTATAATGATCCTATTTGTATTCTTCGTTACCATGTGGGGTTGGCTAACATGATTTGCTTTGGTGGCTGGGAGATGTTGAGTGTAGGTCTATGGGTCTATGAAATTTTAACACAACCACGCCCATATTACTGAATACCTGTTGTATTCCAGCAATGTGCTACATATACAAAAGTGGTAAGATTCAGTTCCCACCATGAAGCATCTCATAATTCAGTAGCAGAGTAAATGTGTATAGAACGTATGAAGAAATAAGTGCTATGAGAATGAAACAATAGGAACTCAGTGATAAATACAGCATTCTGTCTCACACATACACTTATAAATGGCATTATTGTATCCTTACGACAGATTTTAATTCTACTGCTGTTTTAGATGACCATCCCCCATAGTAACGTAACTGTTCTGCCTTGGAGATAGATCACTCTCTTCACAGTTTATTAGACTTGAATTTAATTTTGGATTTGCCCTGATTCCTTGTGAGACTTTGAACAATTTACTTACTCCACTTGCAATTCAGTTTTCTAATATACAGAATAAGACATTAATTTTCTTCATTTGAAAAAAAATCTCTATGATATAAATTATTGTTCTTATACCAGAGCTATTTAAAAAATTTTGGGGAGTGTCATAAAAAAAATCTTTTCTACAGATAGTACAATGCAAGAGTCCCCTCTGGGTTTTCTGATAAGATTTTCTGGAGTATTATCAGAATATGAACACACCTTAAGATTTTTGCAAAAGAAGAAATAAAATAAATTTATACTGTTGTCCCCAGCAAAGTTGGAATGTGGAAAACCTTTAGTAAACTTGAAATTTCTAAGTTACTATTTCTATAAGTTTGTTCTTCTTATTTGATTTTTTTAAAAGAGAAGTCTACAAATATTATAGAAATATTCCCTAGTACTTTATTTTTAAGTGGTCCCAAATCATGTTCCTTACTTATTAACATATTTTATAATTTGGATGGTTCTTTTACTGCTTTAAAGCTGCTGTTTCTTCTTCCGCAGCCAGATTTACTTTTGCTTTCTGGATTGCAGAGTGTTGTGTATGTAGTAGTGGGGGTGGGAGTGATTATTTGGGAAAAGCCTGAGATCTAAGGGGGATGACCAAGCAGCTACTGAGTTGAAAGTACAGTTCTGGCATGTGTGTTTGCGTGTGTGTGCATGTGTGTATGTCACAAACATGAACATACTAGTATTACATAAATGTGTGTGCATGTGTTTTGGGGGAAGGAAAAAGGGAAGAATCCAACAGCTGTTACATAGGGATGGTTAAGCACCGAGTACACCATCATCATCTTTAGCCCGGTTAAAGCACTGTCTACAGCTAAAATTAACCTTGATATTATTGGGCTATTATATCCATAAGATATGTCAGCTTTTTGTTTGTTAGAAGAGTGGGAAGTAGTACTGTGTACTCTACTGTATACTCTTTCAAGGCATATTTATCCTCTTTGGTCACCAGCTGCTAGCCTGAATTTCTACAAGATTCTATATTGTTCCTACTTGGTATTGTGTATTTAATATATTTTAGGGAATTAAATTTCTATTAAGTATTACTTCCCTGTTAAAGCAAAAAATATACATTTTTGTATTTTTTATATACAAGCATTTGAAAGTGAATTACTTACTGTTAGAATGACTATGCTAAGAGGAAAAGCTTGTCCTTTTCAGTTAGTTCATCATTGTTTCAAGTATTTGGCAGAAGACGAATTTGTGTACAAAGAGGAAAGGTAGAAATTACATTTTTAAGCACAAGAATGGGATTTGTTCTTTTAAAAAATGTATCCTGATTGAAAATGAAGTAATAGTATTGTAGGAATGATATTCTGAGGGTTATCCCTAATGATTCTGAAAAAGCATTACTACTTTAAACACAGAATGCCAAAACAGAATTAAAGGCATTAAAAATTATATGTTGACACAATTTCACTTCTAGGTATATATCCAAAAGAATCAAAAAGAAGTGTTGAAACAAAAAATTGTACATGAAATGTTCATAGTAGTACTATTCACAATAGCCAGAAGGTAGAAACATCCCAAATGTTTATCAACAGATGAATGGATGAATAGAATATGGTATATTCATACAATTATTACTCAGCCATAAAAAGAAATGAACTACATGCTACAACAAGAATGAACCATGAACACATTATGCTAAGTGAAAGAAGTGAAACATAGTCACATTCGGTATGATTCCATTTATATGAGATATCCAGAATGAGCAAATCCATAGAGATAGAAAGCAGATTGTTGCTAGGGGCAAGGGCGAGGGGTAAATGGGAAGTGACTACTTAATGGGTACAGCGCTGCCTTTTGGAGTGATGAGAAAGTTCTGGAACTAGATAGTGATGGTGGTTGTACAACATTGTGAATGTATTTAATAACACTGAATTGTACATTTTAAATTGTTAAAATTGCAAATTTTATGTTATGTGTATTTTACTACAATAAAAATGGAAAATAAACTTTATATACTGTATTCTTATTAGTAATTCTAATTTATCAAAGAAGAAAATTTTTAATTAAAAAATTATTATGAGAGAAATGTAAGTCATTTATAATTACATCACTGAGAATAACTACTGTTAACATTTTGGAATATTTCTTTCCATTATCATTTTTATACTAAATCTTTTAAAAATGTTTTTCCCATTCTTTATCTGTCTTTGTATCAGTAAATCTGCATATTTGGTTACATAACTGAAATCATATTGAATATACAATTACTATTTAAAAGATTGTAGAGAAGTCTTTGTTTATGGTTTATCTTCATAAGTTAATTATATTTTGAATTTCCTTTTTGAGAAGCCAGTGTATCTTAATGAAAGTATATGCTTCATGAGAAATTTCACACTAATAGCTACAACTTCTTGTCCAACAATTAAATATCCTATTCACCATAAGTATGCAATTTTAACCTGAAATGTGAAGGCCTGTGTATGTTTATGCCACAGGGGAAAACAAGGAGATTGATTATTACAGAATTATAATACAGAATTTTAAAGTCAAAGATAGATAATGAGCATGTTTCATACAAACAGAAGCTTCTAACATAATGCTTTTCTGGTGGAAGTATAGTTTGAGAGTTGACCCCCACTAGTTACTGCAGTGGAATTCCTAATTAAACGGACGAAAATGCCCAGATCAAAGCAGGAAGAGGGCAAAGTCTAGAAGCCCCAAAGCACAGAGGTACATACCTTCACTGACAAGACAAACATCCCTGTGGTCATGAGGATGAGGAATGTGACCATGACCAGTGGTAATAGCCACCTAATTTTCAGATGATCAGGAAGCAAATGAATTGCCATGCATCTGGCTGCCATCTTACTGTCTTTTTCACTCGGGGTTTTTAACTCAGCCTATTTGGGAACTTTCTTTTGATAACATGTCTCTAATTTTTTATTGATAGTTATTAGGAAAGTAGGACTTACTTTAGACCTTGTTTTAGGAGCTAGAATGCTTCTGTTTGATAATGTGAGGGATGTTTGATAAATGGGTTTACAAGTAGATGTAATTAATTTCAAGTCAATATTGAATTGACAGACTGATCAATAATGCTTCCATATGTTGTATTTCCTCAGAATCATAATTATAACATTTAAAGTAAGTGTTTATAGGTAGCCTCTGGAGGAATCTGGGTAGTCATTAAAAATAACAGCCATCCACAACAGGTAGTAAGGACATATTAGAGCGGTGGCCCCACCCTTCCAAGAATCACTTATCACTGCCCACATCATGATCTACTTATTGCCCTAGTAGGTATGAGAAGGATGAAGAGTTAATAATTTGGGGAGAAATTTCATTAACTGATAAATTGGAATATCTAACTGCAAGGCTAAGATGGTTGTTAAATAAGGAAAATTGCACCCCTAGAGAAATCTGACATGATATGCCTTGTGTTTGAACACAGAAACTCATCACCATTGTCCTCTATTCTTCAGCTGACAGCATTCCCTTAATTCTGAATGACAGGGTGATTGACAGACATGGGATTTATAAAGAAAGAAAAACTCATGTAGCATGTTGGAGCCTGCCAAAATGACTAGCCTGGAACTTGCAGAGTTAAACTTTTTTTTTTTTTTTTTTTTTTGAGACGGAGTTTCGCTCTTGTTACCCAGGCTGGAGTGCAATGGCGCGATCTCGGCTCACTGCAACCTCCGCCTCCTGGGTTCAGGTAATTCTCCTGCCTCAGCCTCCTGAGTAGCTATGATTACAGGCACGCGCCACCGTGCCCAGCTAATTTTTTTATATTTTTAGTAGAGACAGGGTTTCACCATGTTGACCAGGATGGTCTCGATCTCTTGACCTTGTGATCCACCCGCCTCGGCCTCCCAAAGTGCTGGGATTACAGGCGTGAGCCACCGCGGCCGGCCACAGTTAAACTTGTAGGAGCCATGTTTCCTTTTTAGAAATCT